GCCGGTTGAGCTATAGGCGCCGAGCCAATGTCATCTTTCTAAATAACCTCTGAAGCTTAAGAAAGAAGATTATCCAAGCCAAGGAAGCAAAGCTTTTTTGGAAGAAAGGTCCTCTAATCTTGGCAATAAGTCAGTTCACATACATTAACTTGTACTCATTCAGCCATTCAAATTAAAATTCACACAGAAGTTTAATTTTGTAACTATTTACTAATTACAGTATTCTAACCTCTATTGTCTCCCTAAGATATCTACTCTTTTACCTTATGTTATAAATGTCTTTATTTGCACATCTTATCACCAGACTATAAAGCTATGTGAGGGCACACGAGAATCTTACTGAGTTTCTCCTTGGCTTGTATAACAAACTGCTTCAAGGTCCAGATTCCATGACCAGATCCAACCCCATTTTTCACCACTTTTCCACAAATATGATCTGTGTTCTTTCTAACTACCCAATACAGTATTCCCTGAATATACAATGCTATTTCATAACTTCTGTTCCTTTCACAATTATGAAAACTCTGCTTTTCTTCTGCATGCATTTTGTTGACCTCTCACCTGTTTTAGTAAGTAATTCAGCCTCATTTCTAAACAATGCCAAAAATTCACTTTTTCTATTTTTACTTACAACACACCACACACATACATGCATTACTTTACTGTTATTTTTATCCTAAGATAAAAAAATAAAAGCTGATTCTCTTTAAATAAATTTAATTGAAAAGTATAGCATTATCTTAAGTCCTCCTTGAAAATGAAATATAGTAAATCTTTGTGTTTTAGCCAATATTCAAACTGATGTTCAGCTATGAAAATGATTATTTCAAGACAAAACTTATACTCAAATTCTTATTCAACTATTTTAGGAGATTTACTATTACAAAGAAAAAGCAGAAGCTATGTTCTGAAAGAATACTGTGTGTAAGACTTGGTGGGCAGTGCACAGACACATGGAGAGGGTATGTCAGGAGCTAAGGATATGATAAATCATATTTTGTGTCCCTCAGGTTCTATTACAAAAAGGAAAGTAATTTAAATGTAACCATACTACCCAAATAATGAAATAAACATTATAACCACTGTAATGTTTTCTCCTATGCACAAAGGTATGTAGTTTTAGAATCTATAGACAAAAAATATGCTTACCAAACAATAAAGCATTTTACATAATTGAAATGTTAAAATAATTTGCAACATTTCTCTTTAAGTAATTTCTTACTTAATTTCCCACTTGTATGTTTCTTCACATTTTTGTTTCTGCTGTAGTCTATTAGCTGTGGTTTTGATTTCGGTTCTCTTAGCCAGCTAATGTCAGTTTTGTTGTCATCACATCTGTGTTCTGCTTCATTGTCACTAAAAAGATTTTTCTTATGATCTGTTATGATCTATGGAAAAAAAAAAGATCTTTGAAATAGATGAAAAACTATGTCTGATTTTATGTCATGCAAATTAAGCCCCCCAAACAATCTTCTCATTTTTTAATATACTAATCTAATGATATTGAGAACCTATCCAAGAAAGTCATGCAGAAATCCAGATCAGACAATGGGATTTATATTTTGATGTTGGTTTATTAATTAAAATTTAAATCAAAACAGCTTACTTCCAAAGAGATATAATACAGTCAAAGAAAATAACAAAATTGTCCTATCTTCTATTTTTAGGTGATTACAAAATAGCTCAAAGATCATAAGAAAATTCCTAATAGGATCATCAATAATCTCAGAGGAATAAAAAAATCAAAATATTGTTTTCCAGTTCTTTGAATAATCTTTGGCATTAAAAATTTATTAAAGAAATACTATTTTTAACAGACATAGGATATTATCACTTACTTTTTTATCTTTTGTTCTGAGAGAAGGTTCAAGTTCATCATGACTCCTTAAACCTATCCTAAAACACAAATATGTATTAATTTTAAAATACCCTTCATATTTGTTTTCCTAAGTAGCATGCATGGACAATTAGACCTCACTTTTTAACCTAAATTATTTCACTAATTAGCTAAGTATCCTGGCCAAGCCACTTATCCTCTCCTGACTTCAGTTATAAAATAATGAGGTTGGATTAAGGAACTTTTACATTAAATATTTCAAACTTTATGATCTAAGATACACAACTAATATTCAAAGTGCAGATAACATGCATATTAATTTTAAAAGTAAATTCTGACATAACAATCATAATGAGAGTAAATCATGACAGTAACATTTTTTTTCACTCTTCTAATAAGTTAAAAACTCTCAGAAAGACTATGAAGAGATATTTAATAAGAAACAAAGATGGAGATAAGTGTATTTTAATCTGACCTATCTAATTGTAATGAAAACACCTACAATTTTATTGAATTATCCACACAGGCTTCTCTAGTTGTGGCTTCAAATTCTTGGATCTGTATTGTGAATAAACATTTTTTAAAAAGAATTCTTAGTGTCAAAATAAACAAAAAAGAAACATAAAATCTAGTTTCTGTCACATAATGGAATAAGATGATTTGAGACATTAAAATTAAGTTTACATCAATATTTTAAAAAGAAAGCTAATACAATCAATTATACTAGAAAAGACTATTTGTTTTAACTTTGTTACATAAATAAGAAAAGTGATTTTCTTAATAGAGCAGTTAAGTCCTTCTACCTCCAATTACATGTTTCTATCTTACTCCTGAAGATTTGAAAAAATTTTAATAACCCAATAAATCATTACATATTTAAAAAATTTCGATGTAAGAGGATGCACATTAAAAAACATACTCTAATAACTGTATAGTACATATAAAATACCTAAGTAACTAAATATAAAATACCCAATGATTTCTAGCTTACTCCAAGTTTTATAATAGGTTCTTCAGCTCCACTCAAATTAAAATTGTAAACATCATTCCTGTGGAAATGAACAGAAATATTAACTCCATTATACAGTAAATACATTTAGTCTATTCAAATATGAGGAAAAGCTTTATGAGAAATTACTTACGATGGGCATTCAGAAGTAACATTAACGAAAGTAGTCTTCAGTTTTCTATAACTTTTCTTCTGAACCTTTTCCTAAATACAAAAGAAGTTTACATACACCTATAAAACTTGTATATTGCTATGTGTGACAAACAACATGTAAAAATAAGTTTTTATATATTTTCTAGCTGTGCTTCCACTAACACAAATCAGGAATTTGTAACATTTTCTGTAAAGGTATCTGCACTCCCACATTCACTACAGCATTATTCGTAATAAGCAATACATGAAAACAGCCTAAGTATTTGTCAACAGATGAATAAACAAGTAAATTGTACTATATACTCATATACACAATATTATTCAGCCTTAAAAATAGCAAATCCTGCCATTTTCCATGACATGGATGAAACTTCAGATGACTATGCTAAGTGAAATATAGCCAGATGCAGAAAGAAAAATACAGCATGATCTTATATGTGGAATAAAAAAATTCACAGAAATAGACAATAAAACAGTGGTTATCACAGCAAGGGAGTGAGGAGGAAATGGAGAGATGTAGGTCAAAAGACAAAGTTGAATGATTTAACATTTTTAAATCTAGAGATCTAATCCAGAACATCTGAACTAAAGTTAGTATTGCATTTTGGGATATTTGCTAAGAGCATAGATTTTAGGTGTTCTTGGCGCAAATACACAAAAAGGGCAACTATGAAATGATAGATATGTGTAAGATTATTAATATGCTAGACTACAATAATCATCTCACTGTTACTTTATATAATAAAAATATTAAACATCTATACTTTTAGAAATATTGAAAACAAATATTGACTAATAATAAAGTATTACAAATCTAATAAAATATAAAATCTTTAACCTTTTTACTGATATTGTTGTACATAAATAATGGGCCCTCTCACTAATATTCCACAACACCAATTTTAGTGGTGCAGAATCACAAAACAAGGATATTTCTACTTTGTTTCACTTCAGACTTTTATTTCCCTTCTTCTCTGAAGGCCATTTGCGATGGTTCATGGCTGTAATCCTAGCACTCTACAAGGCCCAGGTAGGTGGACTGCCTGAGCTCACAGGTTGGAGACTAGTCTGATTCAGAGAGTGACCTTGTCTCTAAAAATAGCCAGGCACTGTGGCAGGTGCCTGTAGTCTCAGCTACTTGGGAGGCTGAGGCAAGAGAATTGCTTGACCCCAAGAGTTTGAGGTTGCTGTGAGCTATGATGGCATAGCACTCTATCAAGCACAACAAAGTGAGACTCTGTCTCCAATAAATAAATACATAGATAGGTAAATAAAAAATATAAAATCTTATCTGACAGGGTTAAAAAAGTATCAATTAACTGGTATTGTGTAAGATTATTAATACAGCCTACAGCTCAAAATGTATTCAACCAGGTCATGAAGAAGTTAAATGAAATTTTATAAATAATTATAATTTTTTATTAAAGAAAAACATAAATATCACTAAAATAATTGATTATTGACCAGAAATTAGAAGACTAATAAATATTAAAGTTGGAAATATTAAAACCTAAAATATTCACTGTAATTTTTGTGACAGCTTCAATTTGTTTATTTCTTTTGCTATGTTATAGAGAACTGTGTGCATTATGACAAAAAGTTTATCTCCCATCTTATCCCTCTGAATCACTTATCTGACTTGTTTTCAATATGATTTTTATCATTGTTTAGATATGTTCACCATATTCTGTGTATCAGTGGGTGCTTTGTGTTGTAGAATATATAAAAATGAGCAAAAGCACTCTACTGAGGGCCACAAAATGAGACTATGTCTCTAAATAAATAAAATTTTAAAAATGAGCAAAGATGTTAAAGAAGATATGCAAAAGTAAGCAAAGATGTTACACAAGATGCGAAGATAATTCAAAATAGTTGCATTCTAGTAATAGATAGGAGAGAGAAAAAAAGGAACCTGCAATAATGAATATTTTTTTGAAAGGTACAGAAAACTACAGTGCAGATGCAGAATTCTTGCCAATTGAGTTAATTGAGTTTTTGAGGTAGGTCACCTTGGAAAGTTTTCATAAAGAAAGTATAATTTGCAAGGAGGAGTATTTTGAAAATCAGAAAAGAAGGTGGGAGAGGATGTTCACTCAGTTTAAAGTTCTTTATAAAACAGAAAGAAAAGAGAATAAACTAATACTTAGAAAAGGCAGTTTAGAGTACCTCAAGTTATCATGTTTCAGTTAAACAAGACATGTCTAGAAAACTAATATTTAAAATAACATAATCTTTTAAGGAGACTACTGAGTCAGCCTGTGTCTCTACACCTAATTCAGTAAGCAAGAGGGAACAAAGAAGGTTTCTCAACAAGTGAATGACATGATTGAAGCCACGTGCTTTAGAAAGAAAATAAAAAGCTGGTATTGATCGAATGTAATGAATGAACTAGTATGGGGAAGTACTAGAGCAGCAGTTCTCAACCTGTGGGGTGTGACCCCACAGGAACTGTATTAAAGAGCCATGGCATTAGGAAGTTTGAGAACCACCATACTAGAGGCAAAGAGAATTATGTAAAGGCTACTGTTACAATCCAGGAATTAGAGATTAGAATTGAAACTAGGCTAACAGAAGTTGGCATAGACAGGAGAAAGTTCAGGAGGAATTTATAGAGGGTGAGCCTTAAAACTTAAAATATTAAATGGACACAGAAAGTAACTGTGAAAAAAAAACAAAGATAATTGATATTTTGAGCATGGAAGAATAGTGAATGTTTTTAACAAACTGGGACTAATTGAGATCTAATTATCAGGAGAGATGGGATCAGCTAGAACAAAAGCATGGTAAGTAATAAGGATATACTGAATCATGTACCAAAATGTAAAATTATGATGTTCATGTGCATAAAATGATTTTTGTTGAAGAACAGAAAGTTAGAGAGCTATATGGAATCCTTGCCACTAGCAATAATAATCCATGTAGCAATATACTGAAAACATTAAATCTAGTTCCACTTCACTACTATGTTATTTTAGTGTTTATGGGCAAATATCAAGTTTGACTAAGTTTGGTGATATTAAATAAATAATACCTACTGTACTGAGTTGTACATCTGGTTTGTTTGAAAAGCCACTGTAAAAAAGAAATTGAGTATCAATAGAATATTTTTCATAATAGCTATTTTATATAAAAGTAAAACATATTTAGGTTACTAAATCTATAATACACTTTAAATAACAAAAAGAAGAAAGCACTACAGTCCAATATTTTTGCAACTTCACTCATAGTAAACAGTGCCTGAAACAGTTAAGTCTAAGTTGCATCATTAGTGCAGCAGGAAGTGCCAGTTTAAAATACATGACTTTTCAGTAAGATACAATAAGGCCAGAATTAACTCCAACTTAAATTAATACCCTAACTAAAAGTGAATATTTGCAAATAAAAATTAACCTTCAGAAAGATTATGAAGAATATATTATTTTCTACAAAAATAACTAATTTCATCTTATGTAAATTTCATATTTCATTAAGCAATGTATTTAAATATATTTAATTTTAATCATTACTATATTCAATAAATACTACTCTAAAATGTCTACATCCTAAAGATTTATTTCTGAAATGGTACTTTGTGTCAATATATATATTTTGATACTTTGTAAAATGTAGTTTACACACTAGAATGAAAAATTTTAAATTTAGTTCTCTTCTTGTATTATAAACAGCTACTATTTATAAAAATAATAAGTAACCATATAATTTCTACTGAAAAGTTACATTACATTATTTGAACTTATGTTTAAAAATAACCTTTTTGGGGGGGGCAAGACATGATTGTAAGAGGGACTTTACTTAACAAATGCAATCAGTGTAACTTGATTTCTTGTACCCTCAATGAATCCCCAACAATAACAATAAATAAATAAAAAACGTAACCTTTTTTAGGCTGTGTAATTTCATTGCATTTGTCAGAAAAATATTCATGTATAAAATTTAAGAACATACCTGTCAATCAAAGCCTCCTTGAGTATTCTAGTAGACTTTACATCATCTTCTGGTTTGTATCTCTTATTAATTTTGCTTATCAAGGTGTCTGTTGCATCAGTAAATCCTTTCCCTTTTGAATTTTCTCTCTGAAACAATTTATAAGTTACTTTAAAACTCTACCAGTTAACCTTCAAAGGAAAATAAAGGCTGAAAAAAAATTTAAGAAAAATCTCATTCTATTTATACCTACAAAGAAAAACTAAAGGGTCAGAAATCATTTCACAAGTTAGATTTTGTTAAGCATTAAAACAACTCAGGACGATCCTTTTAACTTACAGAACTCTTCAGAATGTTCTGTAAAAATTTGTTTTAAAGTTTCCAACCCATGAGAATAAAAAAGTTAAGAAAAAAATAAGCCAGTCTGAAAAAGTGGTAAGTGGTTAGCCAGGTTAATTAAGGAGAGAAGTACATAAGAAAGAAAGAGAAAAGACAGACAGTAAAACTTTCTAAGAAAGATTTAAAAGAGAAAAGACAGAAATTGCTAATATCAGAAATGAAAGAGGGGAGATCACTATTGATCACATGAACATTAAATTGATGATAAAGAACTATTATTAAGGCTCGGCGCCTATGGCTCAGCCGGCTTGGGCGCCAGCCACGTACACCTAAGGTGGCGGGTTCGA